AATAAGTGAGAACCCTTGCAATAAGCTTTACAGTAAAGTACTGGTTGGAGCTTCGGTATGAGTATGGATTTGGCAGTAACAACGCGAAATAATAACGCTACAAAAATTGCTCCACCATAAGCTGGATTTGATGTAACACAGAACCCGAAAATCTCTAATGAGTGTACCTTAAGTGTAACACCGGGAAGGTGTTGCAATTTACGCAATTGTTTGAAGACCTAGTTGAAGCCAAATAAAGGAATTTACGGTCAATTTCAAGTCAATGTCAGTTGTTTTGTTATTATCCCCTTGCCATATCAAATTATCGGGATTCGACGGTACTATTTTCTTATTTGATTTCTAGCGCTGATCATGACCTATCCCAAATTTGTGTTGTCATACGAATGTATGTTGTGTAACGAGGTTGGCTCCGTGGGAAATATGTTTTTTTTGTTAAGTCGATGCCAACATTTATGTAATTTTTTTAAATTAAATTATTTATTTAATTATTATTATTATACCCTGAACCCACTAAAAATGGGTAAAAGGGTATATTGTATGTAACAGGCAGAAGGAAGCATCTCCGACCCCATAAAGTATATATATTCCTGATCAGCATCAATAGCCGAGTCGATCCAGCCATGTCTGTCCGTCCGTATATGGATCACAGAACCTATAAGAGCTAGAGACTTGAAATTTTAGATGTAGGTGCTTCTAGTGCCTGTGCTGATCGAGTTTGTTTCCGATAATCGATAACTTACTCTGTTTCCAAGCAATCGATACAAATCGATATCGATATTCTTTTTTCTGGGCAATTTTGGTAAATAATAAGATCACCAAACTTGACATATAACTTCTAAAATAGAATATATATATGCATTTGATGTTCGAAGAAGATGAGTAACGCCATACAGCAAAATCATACTATGCAGCCAGATTCTTTGAAAATTGAGAACGAAAACGAAATCTGTAGCATGCGCTCTCACAGGCGAGAGAACGAAAAGGCTAGAAAAAGAATGTGCTCTCAACTTCGGCTCTATGAGTGCAAGCAATTATGTTTGTATGCGTGTGAATATACATACATAACAGCATATCTGCTCTGGCAAAGTCTCTGGCTGGCAAAGAAACAATTTTCCTAGTTGTTTAGGGCAGATCACTACCTACCCCAAATTTCTGTTGATATATGAATGCATTTAGTATACTGAGGTTGGCTCCGTACAAAATATGTATTTGGCATGCCGTACGAAGCCTCAAAGGCCATATGAAAGGCCAGGTAAGAAATTTTGCGTCGCATTCAAATGTATGGGCGTTACTCATCTTAGTGTTTATGTTGTCTTTGGTTCAGGGTATCCCCTAGTCGGGAGCTCCCGACTAGAACCTATTACTTAGTTTTAAGTTAAGGTTGCGTTCTCGCGACAGTGTTGAGGCACCAATCAGCATAATGCGAATAATAGTCGTTATGCTTAAATTTATTTTTTAAGCTTCTTTTGTTTCGTATCTTGAATGTTACAGACGCAAATTTTTGAATTAAGTCCCTATCACCTATTAAACATATAATAATATTGTATGGTGGTACTTGTGGTTATATGCTTGCCGCATAGACTGTAACAGTTACGCATAATTATAGCATGGTTTGTAAGGTGGTTTATTCAAACCTACTATAGCCTTCTTGAGCTTTCTTCTCTACTAAAAGAATGCAGACTGACATTAAATCATTTCTTGCTGCAAAGTATACCTTCTCGGCCTCCCAGTCTTGAAAGGAATTGATTAATTAACTTATTACAAATTATGATATTTTAAATTTTTTCATATAGGCTCCAGGATGTTGACGATAGCTTTTTTGAAAAGTTTGGATCGCTTTTAAGACAAAAGTCACAATTGGATGAAAATATTTTTAAGACTTCACTGGCTCCATATCATGAAGAAGAAGAGGATGTTACTACAAAGGTTGATGCTGGATCTCACGCTGACACTGCAGTGGAAACAAAATATTATGATAATGCGCTATTGGGTAGCGTGCCAGATTTATTATTCGTGGAAAATATAAGAGAAAATGTTTTTGATACAACAATTTGTATGAATGTAAGTAAATTGGATCTTTATAAAGTAATATTACTATACTTTTTACAAGTACAAACTGAAAGACTAAGACTTGCTAAATAATTTAGAATAGAAGACTTTATACGAAGAAGAGAAGACTCCGAGCAGAATACTCTGTAATGTTACAACGATTCATGCAAGGCAAGGTGTAAAATTACGTGTTCGTCTAGTAGGAATAAAAAAAATTTAATCGGCATAGAAGAGTTGATTTAACCAGCAATTATTTTAAATATTACACCAAGCATTGTTTACGATTACTTAAGGAAGGGAGATTAATAATCAGAAGTCTGCTGACAGTAACCGCACACGAGGATCCCAATTCAAACCATAAAGCGCAAACAACAATAATTATTTCTGCACATATTTAGTCTTGAAGAGTATAATATTGTGGTGACCAAAGATTTATAAAGAACCTTGATGAAACCCAAAATAACTCTGGCCTTAAAAACCACGAAATTTCAAGTACTGGTGATACGCTTGAGCGGTAAGAAACCAATTAGGGAGGGCTTCTGTTGAAATTTATTACCTTACATTTGGAGCAGTTTAAATTTAAGAGGTTGGCAAAACACCAAGCCTGAAACGCATCAATGTCAGCTTGTGATAGATAACATGATGTCATATCTTTATATGTAAGGCATAATTCCACATAAATAGCATACTCGAGATAATACTCGAGAGTGAGACAGTATCGAGGAAAGGTCATTGACGAAAATAGTAAAGAGTAGCGGGCCAAGATGACTACCTTGAGGAACTCCGGAAGTCACCAAAATACGTTTAGACGCCGATTTTCAGAAAATAATCTTTCGGGTTCTGTTCCACGAATATTCTGAAATCCAGTGATTCACTGAAGCCGGAAGCCGAGAAGGCATAACATATGAAGCAGTAGGGAATGGTTGACTGAGTCGAAAGCCTTATTGAAATCAGTAAAGATGGCGTCAGTCTGCATTCTTTTCTTAAATCTATAAATTACAAGCAAAGTAAACGCAAGAAAGTTAGTGGTTGTAGATTTACGCTTATAAACCAATTCTGAGAAGATGAAATAATAAAACTACATTAATGTGTCAGTTGAGATGTTTTATTATCTCAAAAGCTTTAGGTATAGCAGACAATTTGGTAATACCTTCATAGAGGAATGATGTATGATTCCTTCCAAGCAGGAACACCATCAGGGCACAGTAAGTAAACCGGCTTAATTGTGTTAAGGTCGCCAACAACCTCTGTTATTGATAAGGTAGTTTGAAAAAAGTTTGCAAACAGATCGGCAAAGCTTGGATCAGTATTCGTGCTCTCATCTGCACTTAACCGAAGAAGGCAAAATAAATGTCTTACGTTTAGAATTCACAAAGTTAAAAATTGGTTAGGGTTTGGTAAAAATTGGAGGCGACAACGGCGAAAGTAATTCTTATAGCATATGGAATTTTAAGTAGAACATTTTGAATTGGCAGCTGCATAAAGGAAGAAATCAGAGTGATTTCCCGATTTCTCAAACTTCTTATAATACCTCGTCTTTACGTTCCAGAGAAACGCAGATATCAAAGAGCGAGTACAAGGTATCATAAAAGAGCTTAATGTCAACATCAATTGTACAGTTGGGACCAATCGATTTAGAAACAGCTAACTCTGATTCCTTGACAGGCACTGGGGTTGATAGATTAATAATCATATCCAGATTTGCATGAAAAGGGTCTTTAGAAAGTGTCAATTCTGTGTACACTGTCGATAGAATTCAAAACGAAGATCAGATAAAGAGATATATTTCTTGAATTGCGCAGCCGATTAATCTGCCGTGTGGCTATTTCATGCATACCATCAACAATATTGTTTAACCCTCTTATTCCAAAACCAAATAAATTAAAAAAAAAAATTGCCTTGGCAGGGTTTGAACTCGCAACTGACCGCATTACTTGCTGTCGTCTCTACTCAACAGCCACACCAATAATTAAATACTTCTGATAAAACAAGTAAGACGTTCTAGTCGGGAGCTCCCGACTAGGGGATACCCTGAACCCTCTTCTTCCAACATCAAATGCATATATATATATATTCTATTTTAGAAGCTATATGTTAATAAAATCTTAATATTTGCCAAAGTTGCCCAAAAAGCAGGATATGGATATCGATTTTTATCGATTGCTTGGAAACGGAGTAAGTTATCGATTATCGGAAATAAACTCGATCTCCGCAGGCACTAGGAGGACCTACATCTAAAATTTTAAGTCTCTACCTCTTAGAGGTTCTCAGATCCTTGCGTTCATACATACGGACAGACGAACGGACGGACAGACAGACAGACGGACATGGCTTGATCGACTCGGCTATTGTTGCTGATCAAGAATATATATACTTTATGGGGTCGGAGATGCTTCCTTCTGCCTGTTACATGCATTTGGATTTTGCACAAATACAATATACCCTTATACCCATTTTTAATGGGTTCAGGGTATAAAAACAAAGCATTCTTATTAAATTAAATTCAATTGTTATCATTTCCAAAGTGCTTCAAATAAAGATATATTTATTTGTTTTGTATATACATAAAATCGTCAATTGTAAACAATAAAAACAACAACCACGGCATTATAAAATCTTAATTGTCTTATTGTTATAAAATCTTAATTGTCTTATTGTTAAATTCATCATAGAAAAGAACTGAAAACAAATTAGCTCGATCCCAAAAAAACGTTGAATAAGTCTACAAACTTGTTTGCTTTCGTATCTACTTAAGTGTCTACATACATACATAGATTGTTTTCGTGTACACATATTCTGTATGTACACAAAAATTATTTATTCACTCACTTGTTCTGCATAGCTTTTCCTACATACTTTACGAAATACGTCTTTCATTATCATTGAGCTTTTTTTTTAATTCTATAAATAAAGTATGTGCTCAAAGCTCTACGATTTAATGCTTTTCTCTTTATCTTGTGGGATACTTGGAAAACAATATCGAATTCGAATGCTGCTCATACACACTCAAAATCAGCCCACGGTCAACGCGATTAATATGAAAATTTTTAGTTCCCGGCATTGACACTGTTAATGGGTTATTCTTTTTACACAATCGTGAAATGTAAAGATACATGAGAAAAGAGCATACTGATTTAGTTCGATACCAAAATCAACTGTGACATAAAAACAAATATTTACAGAAAAATTATGATAATCATGTACACACTAAAGTGCGAATTGTAAAAAATTATTTACACAGAGATTGACAACTTGGTGTTTAAAAATGAGTTCTTTATCCTTGCCCCGTGTTCTATCTAATATCAGTTCTCGAAACTTCACCGACAAAAATTCAAACTTTCTAAGTTTAAACCGTTCCGCTGGTCATGAGATGCGTCAAATTACAAAAGTATATTCTACTCTTTCATTAAATGAAACAGCGGAGCGACGTAAACGAATTCTTAACAGAAATGGAAGTATTTCTAATCAGCATTTTCGTGGTGTTCACAAGCATTTATTGGAATCTCACACTAAAGTAGTTTGTCATTCAATGACAGTAAGTATAATTTGAACGCTTATTGCGCACATGAACCCATTGAAAATGGTTAAAAGGTTACGTTTTATTTTGCAAGTGTGTTAATAAAAAGCGATAGTTAAGATATTGATTTTCGATCATCAGCTTATAAATGCTACAAAGTATTTCGGTTTTAAGATACTTCCGCTTATAAAAACGTAATCTTCGAGTGTTAATATTCATTTAAGAGATGCTTCAGAAAATTTAGAAAATTCTATTCTTTATGTGTTTATGTTGGTCAATCATTTGGTGGGTTATGCTTCTCGTTCAAAGTAATTTCCATATGTAAGTCATTCGGGAGGTGTTTTACACTTTTAGTAGAAGCCATGCTTCCTCTATGAATAATAAGACTGTCCAATTTGCCTTAGATAATAACTTAATGAATAGGAGTTTTTGGAATTCGCTCTTAATTGCTAGTGGGAGAGGCTGTTACTCCAATAGTAATGGTTTGCCTGCACAGCTTCAGTTTTATTGTATAGGCAACGAAAGTAATCCGGATGTTACTCCGAGATTGGTGATGGTATGGAGGTCATTCATCAGCTGCAGTGACAACACCTCTTCTATTGCTGTTAAGGGTCTCAATAGTTGGATCATGGATGGTAGTGGTTTAAAGTGGGAGGGATAAAGTAAAGATATTAAATTTAATTACATTTATATTTTTGATTCATTATCGATCAAAATGTAAACATTAAAGTCGTTAAGAAATATATTACCCGTATCTATTTTGCAGAAGTCCCTCTTTCTGTTGCACGCAGCACATATGTCAAAACATAATGATTGACTATGCCAATCATATAGATGCAAAAGCCTATTAAGACCGGACCACTATATCATATAGCTGCGATAAGAACGATCGATCGAAAATTTAGTTGTTGTATGAAAAACATTTTTGTTTATCCATATATCTTGACCATTCTCGGCATTTAATAGTTTGACTTTGCTCTTAATATACATGCATAATCCTATTGTATCGAAAACTTTTTGTCATTCAAGATATATTTTGATTAAACACGGCATTTAAAGATTTCCGTTCATTTGTGCAAAATCTTGTTTACATCCGACTACTATATCATATATCTTCCATAGGAACGATCGGTCGAAAACTAGGATTTTGATCAAAACGCTTTTTTGTTTACCAAGATATCTTGCCCAAACTCGGCATTAAGTATTTTCCCTGTGCTTCTTAAATACGATTTTGGAAAGGTATTAGATCTTCGGCGTGCCGAAGACAGCCTTTCTTTCTCGTTTTTAATATTTTTACATTGATCGTTAATAGAATAGACTGAATATTTATATTTTAAAACACTACCATATCGTATTTTAATTACATTTCTGTTTTCTTAATAGTTTTAAAAGTAGGTGATTACAAATTTCTATATCTGATTTTGGGATGAAAATGGAAAATTGAATGTTAATTAATATGGAGTTTCTTCTTCGGATGTTATAAAAGTATTTACTATATCACACATATCTTTAAATAAATCTAGTTTACATTTTATTTGTGTGGAAAGAACATTTTGCAATTAGAATATTTAAAATATTTAAAAGTTTCAATTATTACATTATCTTATAAATTTTTTCTATTATGTCCTTGTTTAAAGTTAATTAGCTTGGTTTCATTTTTAATACAGAGAATCTCGGATTTGGAATAATTTAAAATTTCATATGCAGTACAAGAAAGAACAATTTTTTCCTATTTCCAATTTTCTATATGAGTTTTGTGGACATGGGATCCTTTCGACTTGATTGTACTTTTGTACGGTGGTGAGCTAAAAACTTTTGAATTGAATGTATGAATTTATAGAGGATCTTGATTGACTGTGAATTAAGGGAGTTTTCTTTATCGGTGATAACGGATTTTGGTGGTCCAACATAAAACAAAATTTCTCTTAATAGTTTTCTGATGGCCTCAATGCTTCTGGTTTCTAGTGGTTTAGCTATTGCTAATTTTGTAAATAGTAGTGAAGTTTTCTCCTAGTTTAATGTTGTCTGGGTATCGTTCATATATTCTTTGCAAAATTTTATACTGTAACGTAGATGGAAAGTATGCTGTTTTCATACCCTAAACCCATTTAAAATGGGTATAAGGGTATATTTTATTTGTGCAAAATCCAAATGTATGTAAGAGGCAGAAGGAAGCATCTCCGATCCCATAATGTATATATATTCTTAATCAGCATCATGTCCGTCTGTCCGTTTATCCGTCTGTCCGTCCGTCCGTCTGTCCGTATGTATGAACGCAAGGATCTCAGAACCTATAAGAGCTAGAGACTCGAAGTTTTAGATGTAGGTGCTCCTAGTGCCCGCACAGATCGAAATAGTTTCCGATAATCGATAACTTACTCCGTTTCCAAGCAATCGATAAATCGATATCGATATCCTGTTTTATGGGCAATTTTGGTAAATAATAAGAGCTAGAGTCACCAATATAGCTTTTAAAATAGAATATCTATATGCATTTGATGGTGGAAGAAGGGGATTCAGGGTATCCCCTAGTCGGGAGCTCCCGACTATAACCTCTTACTTGATTCTTTATAAAATCATGCCCCAACATAGCATCGTAATCGCACTGGGTTCTAAAAACTTCTAGTCTGCAATTTGTCTACTGCAACTTCTGCATTTATTTGGTTTTGTTGTTATATGGCCAATACCGAGCTGCGTAGATGTGCGTCTGAATCTGTATCCACGAGACACTCATTTCACTATTGGCGCGAACTATATCAACTTTATTAGCTTGTTCAGGATAGTTGCGCGAAATGTGACGACATTGATAACACCCAATATATTTCATTTGAGTCGTAGAATATTTGCGCTTGTGATCACCTGTGCCACAGTTAAAGCAATAATCTTGTTTACTGCCTTGTTCACTTTTCGGTTTGACATTTGCTCTATGTTGTTTTTTTTCTCGGATATGGACAAACGCTTATACATATCAAACTTGTTCTAGAAATTCTCTAAAGGAATTAAGTAGCATACTTCTACTTGTGTCTTATAGCAAGACCATTTATATACATGTAAGATTTTTAATATTATATTGTTTGTTTAATTAATAAAAGTCATAGCGCAAAGTAAAAACTGTTTCTTAATAATAGTCCTAGTGCGCCAACTTCACGCTGCTGCGGACCAAAGCCGATTCCCTTGACAACAGACAATTCGTGTATATCGCTAGCTTATCGAATAATCGAGGTATTTTAATTAACAGGATTGTGTTAACTCCTGCCTTTACATATGACCCTCCTGATCGTCCTCATCTGTCACAGATGACAACTTACGTCCTCTTGATCGGTTCCAGATATCCTACTCTCTATCCGTGCTCATCTCGACGTTTTTTTTTTATCATAATTGCGCTTATAGACTTGTTGCGCCTTCTCGATGTTCTTCTTCACTTGGTCACGCAGCTTTTGGCGCTCGTCGTTAAATTGCACAACTAACTCTTCGTTGAGTACCTCTAACAGTCGATCTTCAGTTTGGCTGTGCATTTTAGTTCCAACATAACCTCGAATTGCGAATTGCACATGCGAATTAATCGCCTTTTGGATCTGAGGCACATACTTGTACCACTTTGTGGACTAATGGCTTGACAACTTCGCGATAATACTCAAAATTAAACGGTTAACTCGCTCAATCTGGTTATTGCCTCTCGCAACACCAGTCGTTGTCAACACATGCTCAATTTTCTTCTCGTTGAGAAACACAAGGAAAGCGATGGATAAGAACGCTGCTCCTCTGTCGCTGTTTATGCGCTTGGGTAAACCTAACACAAACGGCCAGTCGCTAAGCCTCTTGACAACTTTCTCGTGACCTGTTGATTCAGTTGGGAACAGCCATACAAATTTCGAAAACGCATCTACCATAGCAAAAATGTATTTGTATGGCTTAGCTGTTGCGTTCATTGGTCCCAAATGATCGATGTGCAGCGTGTGTAGTGGCGTGTCACCCTTGTCTATGCGGTGAAGATAGCCACCTTTTTTGCCCAACTTAGTACTGAAAATAATACAATTGACACAATTAGATACCTCATTTTCAAGGTGCGGAATCCATTGCTGCTGGATCGAGTACTTTGTGTTGGCCATTGAAAAATTACCATCTTCGTGCGACCTTTGAATCACTTCTCGTTCTATTAGTTTCAGAGCAGCAAGCAACTCATTGCCATCGACGACTTTATACAGAAGACCACCCTTGAGCTTACAGTCTTGGTATGGGCGTTGCTTGAACATCTCTATAACGGCTTTGATGAAGTCGTCATCTTGTTGGGCCCTCCTTATTTGAGCTGATAACTCTGCCGTAACGAATATACACATGGACGATGTACGACTGAGAAATTTCTATCGGCATGCCTGCTTTAGCCGTTGCCTGTCTAAACGCGACCAAGTCAGTGGCAAGATTAAATTGGATCCCCAACAGATAGTTCGAAACTTCATCACTGCGAGGTATGCTGCTATGACCTCTAAGTAGTAACTGTGACGCTTAGGCTGAGTTTGTGTAGTTTTTCTGCTCCAGTAATAATGTTTGAAAATAATAGTCTAGATGATTGCAACTTAACGCTTCTGCAGACAAAAACCGACTATGTAGCCCAACAGACGACAGACGACTGTCTACCTCTATGTGTGTATAAATTATAAGTCTTGAGTGTATTGATTAAGTTACATTTATTTGTTGCCCGTTTGGCAATAATGTTTTACGCTGACGACTTGGTGCCTGAGTACTGACGTGTTGAGCTAACGACGTTATTTCAGAACTAAAAACATGCGATACAATTCTTAGGGCTTAAAGCTAACAGCAATTGTGGTCGGAGTCATATTCTGCCCAACCGATCGTTGACTCCGCTTAACTTATATATCGGTAGCTTATCGATAGATCGAAGTTAGATTAATGTTAATTTACAGAAAAGTGTTAACTTCTGCCATTTAAATGTATGTACTTTATAAATATATTTAGGACCGAGGACGAAACATTTTAATGCGTTGTACGCAACAGATTCT